TGTCCTGGCTGCTTTGCTTCCAATCCAGCTCCCTTTTAATGCACCTGGGAAAGCAGCCGAAGATAGTCCAGATGCCTGGGCCCCTGCCACGCAGTGGGAGACTTAGGTGCAGTTCCTGGCTCCTGGCTTCTGCCTGGTCCAGCCCTGCCCATTGTGGCCATTAGGGGAGTGAACCAGCAGATGGAAGCTCTCTCCTCTTCCTCCCCTCCCCTCCCCTCCCCTCTCCTCCCCTCCCCTCCCCTCCCCTCCCCTCAATTCTTCCTTTCAAATAAATCTTGAAAAAAACCATTTCAGACCCAGTTTTGATTAGAAGTTGGCATTCACTGTTTTATGACATATTTGTATACTATAAAGGTTTTCAAACCTGTTTTTCAGACAGGGAAGGGGTTCTGCAAGGTTGGATAACAGGGCAGATGACGTGCGTGAGGTAGAGGGAGTCTTTGGAGAATCAGCTGTGCGGGGCACAGAAGCCAACACCGGAGCCGCGACGCTTGTCATGCAGCAGAACAAAGTGGGAAGCAGCTCTTAAGTGCTGCCTGCTCTTAACTGATAACGGGGAAGTTTGTAGTTAAGCTCCTTGAACGTGTAATTATTTCAACTTTCCAGTATTTTATCTCGTTAAGTATAAATGGAGGACTTGAAGCAAGAGAGCCTGAGCCATGTGGTGATTGTGGACAGCGAAGGAATCTGGAATGTCGGAACATGGGATTCAGAGACTGGATCCTGCGTGACAGAGCTAGATTACGCAGCCTTTGACCGGTGGACTCCTGGCTTGGAACACAGAGAGGGTTTCCTTAGGGTGAAGAATGGCTGTGGGTGTCTGAAACGCTTGCCTATCCTAAATGTCGAACCTCTTAGGACACAGGGCAAATTTTATTTCTACTGGTTTTCAAATACTGTAAGTTAATTTTTTACCCTGGGTACAGTAAGATCTAGGGTTATTACTGCTGTACAGTGAAGGTGTGCAGAGTGAAGTGGTTTGTTGGTATTTATGGGGGGATGGGAGTGAGACGGAAGGAGGCTCCCTGTGGATGTTTTCCTTTCAGAAGATGAATGCTGTCTTGAGGTGTGAAGCATTCTATCAAAAAGCGAGGAACAATCTATCAGGAAGTGAAAGGTGTTCTATTAAGAAGTGAGACATCTGCAGAGACTGGGAGACATAGAAGACACCAGACAGGATCATTAAGCCTGTTTAAGATGGTTTGTCCCTTGACTCTGGCCACAGACAACGAAAATGAAGCAAACAAGTATCCGAGGAATCAGGATCCCGGTGAAGAGTACAGGACGGTGTCCGTGCAGAGGCAGCAAAGGGAGCGAGGGTCTGATAGCCGGGGAAAGGTGGTCGCGGAGAGCGGCGGCTGAGCTTTACAGAGGAGTCCTCCTCCCGGGAAAGGGTTATGCAAGCCGATTCTTGGGGTGGGACTATTTCACATACGCTTGGAGGGCTCACCCCTGCTCCGGCCTGCACGTGTCCCCTCCCTGTAGCCGGTGGTCACCACGCAGCATGCCCTGGCCTGCCCTTCCTTTCTCAGGTAATCCTAGAGTGCATCTCGGAAATTGTGCATTGGCACTCATCTGCCTTGTTCATGTCCCACAGGCCTCCCTCTCGATCCGCTGAAACAAAGCTCACTCATTTTTTGCTGGGTGATATTCAGAGGCAGGCAGCAAGGAACACAGTCAATAGATCAAATCCATCCACCTGTTTTTATAAATAAAGTTTTATTAAACACAGCCTTGTCTCTCTTTTTGGACTTTAGAAGTTTCTTTTGAATTTTTCTTTTTGGACTTTTGAATTTTGTAACCCATTATGTGTGACACAATCTCCCTCTAATCCATTGTTTCTGTCTCTCTCTCTCTCATTTTTGATTTACTTATTTGAAAGGCAGAATGACAGTAAAGGAGATAGAGACCTTCCATTTGCTGGTTCACTCCCCTCCCTTGGTCTCCCCTGTCGGTGACAGTTTCGCAAGTACTTGGGCCATCTGCTGCTGCTTTGCCAGGCGCATTTGCAGAGAGCTGGGTCAGAAGTGGAGTGGCCAGGACTGGAACTGCAGCTCTGATATGGGAATGCCCAAGGGATGCAGGCAGTGGCTTACCCTGCTGTGTCATAACACTGGCCCCTTTTCTAGGATTTTTATTATCTGCTTTTTAAACACAGGTCTGGAATACAGTTTTTAATTCATGTATTCAGTGGCGTTGTAGTATAATAGTGAAAACCACAGACTGGTTCAGTTGCGTGATGCCCTGTGTGACCTTTGACAGGTGACATGACATTGCTGTGCTGTGGTTTTCTTCTGTAACGTGAGGGTATGAGTGCCTGTCGTGAGACGCGGTGGGGCTGAAGTAAGCGGTGGACGTGCGGAAGGCGTGTGGAACGGTGCCAGGCACCGGAAGCACACGCGCAGTCAGCATTACCACGCCTCTCTGCTGTGTGGCTCTCCAGGTGTTCTAGTGGCAGATCGAGTAGTTGGCGCTTTTCCGCAGTTGGTTTTAAAGCATAATCTGTCCCGCGCATTGTTTCCAAACGCTCCTGTCTCTGCTTCTGGGCTCTGCAGCCTGCTACTGGCTCCTCTCATGCCTGTGCCAGAGGCGCAGTGCCTTAGTTACCGCAGCTGTGGAAGTGCCGAGGTCGTTGAGTAGAGTCGCTTGGTTTTGTTCTGCAAGACTCGTGTGGCTCCTGCTGGCCTTCCTCTGCTCTTCTCACTTTCAGACATCTCGTTAGACTGTGCAAAAGCCCTGTTTGTTATTAAGCCTTGGCATGCAAGGAAATGGCAGTAATTGGGCTGTGCTGGACTGAACCTGGGTCTTCTGACTGCCTCAGCCAGTGGAGGAGTTCATAAGTTATCTGGCACCCTAATCTACAGACGGACACTGTCCACTCTGGGGGGCGGCCTGGAAATACGCTGGATACAACACCATAGAGAGATGCATCTTTAACCTACAGTTCCCAGACTGCACCCTGAAATACTCAAAGCCACCTCAGGGACCTCCTCTAGGGGGATGGAGTGACATCTGTTGTGCCCTGCAGATTGTACCTCAAGGTAGTGGACAGCTTCAGCGTTGGGTTGTGCCACCTTCCGTGGTCGTCTTTGCCAGCTGGGCTTTTGGTGGCTGCAACACCACACAGACCTCAGCGTGGAGCAGAAAAGGTTGGGCGCCGTGTCCAGTCTAATCCTCACGTGTAGCTGATTGGGGTTATTTAAAAATGAAATGAAATTGTCTTTTCAATTTGTGTATATATTTTTTAAATGCATTAACTGTTTAGGCCATAAATACTTATTCATCTGCATGGAGGTAACTATTAAGTCAACAGAATTGCTGGCTGTTTTTTAGTCTACAGAATTCATGGGGGGAAAAAAAGGTTTACTGAGAAAAGAAAGCACTAGGAGCCAGGAAAGTCTGGGCACCTCTGCCTTCTCAGGTAAGTTACTGTCTGTATGTGCAGGTCAGGAACAGGAGGGGACTTCAAAAGTTCATGGAAAATGGAATTAAAGGGTGCTTACTTTGGTGTCAGATATTTGAAATCCATGAGAGGTTTTTCGTAGTGTGTGTTTTCCATGAACTTAAAAGAAAATTTTTGTTTAAAGGAGACACAGGTAGCCAGATGGAGATACCTTCTATCCACGTGCTGGTTTACTTCCTCCTGTCCACAATGGCTAGGACTGGGTCAGGCCAAAGCCAGGAACTCAGTACCCAGACCAGGTATCCCATGTCAGTGGCAAAGGCCTCCCAGAGTGTGCATTGCAGGGAGCTTGAATTGGGAGTGGAGCCGGGACTCGCACCCAGGCATTCCTGTGTGGATGTGAGCATCGCAACTCTCTCATTCATGAGCTTTGTGAGGACCCCATGCGTGCGTGAATTCCAAAGTTGTTTGCTCAAAAATAAATGTATTTTAGTTGTATCTTCATAAACTTTTAAGATTTGTTTCATTACATGAAGGAGTGACAGGGACAGTCAGAGGAAGAGAGACTGCACCTGCTGGTTCACTCTCCAAACACCACCACAGCCAGGGCTGGGCCCGGCTGAAGCTGAGCCAGGAACTTTATCCTGGTATCCCAAGTGGGTGGCAGGAACCCAAGTACTTTGGGCTATCACCTGCTGCCTCCCAAATGCATCAGCAGAAAGCTGGTTGGAAGCCAAGGTGGGACTCAACCCCAGGTACTCCCGTACGGGCTGCAGATGTCACAGGTAGTAGCTCAACCCACAGCGCCACATCACCCACCCCGTCAGAAACGTTTTGAAGTCCCCTCATCTGTGCCATCCTGCTTACACCAGTGCCAGCTACACTTGCCTGGGCGGCAGGAACAGACAGGAAGACAGGAGTTGGCTTGGGAGGGGCCAGAGGTGCCACTCACCCGTGCAAGAAGGTGGAACTGCAGGGACTCGGCGGGGGGGTGGGCTGCAGAGTCCCACAGGGGCTGACCGGGACCTGGACGGAAAGTCCACTGAGGGCTTCTTCAGGTTTGCATGGGAAAGGCAGTGGCAGGCTTGGAGGGGTCTTCAGTAAAGAGGATGCCTCAGGTCGCTGCCCTCCTGCTGGCCAGTGATGACAAGTGACACAGGGTGGATGTTTTCTTGTAAAATTTTGATGTACCTTAGTTTCAAAGGCATTTATAAATTTGCCTGTAAATAATTTTTTCCGAATTTTTAGCATCCATATACATTTTTATTCAACTTGTCTAATATGTGTCTGGCATTTTAAAGTTAAATAAAAGCAAGGCAGAATGTTAAACTGCAAAACATTTAAATTGGTATAACCTTTTTTGTTACTTTTTTGGATAGCAAAAGTTCCTAGTTTTTAATAAAATGTAATTATTTATATCTGTAATAAAATATTTTGAGTTGTTAATTTGCCTGTTTGGACTCTCAACCTGATTTGTCTCTTAGGTTTCCAAGCTGCTTCCATTGGGAAGTTAAGTTTTGCACTTGTTCTTGTGTTTCCTGCAGAAAAAGTAGAGGAAAGTGTCGCTCAGCACTGTGCTTTGGCTTTGTCTCTGTAGGAGCCGGTGTTCGGACGTTCACTCCGTTTTATTTCCTCGTGGAGCCAGTGGACACACTCTCCGTCAGAGGCTCATCTGTCATATTAAACTGCTCTGCGTATTCTGAACCGCTTCCGAAAATCGAATGGAAAAAAGATGGGACGTTCTTGAACTTAGTGTCAGATGATCGACGCCAGCTTCTCCCAGACGGGTCTTTATTTATCAGCAACGTGGTGCATTCCAAGCACAATAAACCCGATGAAGGTTATTACCAGTGCGTGGCCACTGTTGAGAGCCTTGGGACTATTGTGAGCAGAACAGCCAAGCTCACGGTAGCAGGTAAGTTTTGTTTTGTTGAGTGATTGATTTGCGTTTTCAGATTTTTATAAAGGGTAAATCTTAAGAAAAGCAGTATTATCCTGGAGTTTTCATTGAATTGTTAGCAACAAATACATTCATGAACAGATACCAATTAGGCATATACTCTATAAATGGGACCATGCTAGGGCCTGTTCAGTGCCTTATGGCATAAACTCTAGCACTTTTCCACTTGCATGAAGGCTTGAAGTTGCTATCAGAAGAGCCCTTGTTTCTTTCTTTTTAACTTGGAGATAGCAGAGGAAGTCCTATAAGAAAACTGAATCACTTTGATGGTGAACTTTTATCCTACCTAGCATATTTTACCTAGTCTGTAAAACTGGTGGTAAAACCAGAATCCTAGTTCTTTTGTGCCCTGACCCAAGGAGATGACATTTAATTGGATTTTTTTTTACTTCTAGAGTATATTTACTAAAGTGGAGAGCAGAAAGTTATAGAAAGATTCACTCCCTTTCAGAGCATTCTTACCTGAGTCATGATGGAAAGTGTAAGAAAGAATGAGGCTTGGCCAGCCCCGTGGCTCACTAGGCTAATCCTCCACCTTGCGGCGCCGGCACACTGGGTTCTAGTCCCGGTCGGGGCACCGGATTCTGTCCCGGTTGCCCCTCTTCCAGGCCAGCTCTCTGCTGTGGCCAGGGAGTGCAGTGGAGGATGGCCCAAGTACTTGGGCCCTGCACCCCATGGGAGACCAGGATAAATACCTGGCTCCTGCCATCGGATCAGCGCGGTACGCCGGCCGCAGCAGCCATTGGAGGGTGAACCAACGGCAAAGGAAGACCTTTCTCTCTGTCTCTCTCTCTCTCTCTCACTGTCCACTCTGCCTGTCAAAAAAAAAAAAAAAAAAAAAAGGAAAGAAAAAGAAAGAATGAGACTCTGCAAGAGTGAGTATGCCTTGGTCCCTCCGTGAGCTGTGCCCGTCTTCAGCAGGAGTGAGTGTGCCTTGGTCCCTCCGTGAGCTGTGCCCAACTTCCAGCAGGAGTGAATGTGCCTTGGTCCCTGGTGAGCTGTGCCCGTCTTCAGCCGGAGTGAGTGTGCCTTGGTCCCTCCGTGAGCTGCGCCCGTCTTCAGCCGGAGTGAGTGTGCCTTGGTCCCTAGGGAGCTGCGTCCGTCTTCAGCAGGAGTGAGTGTGCCTTGGTCCCTGTTGAGCTGTGCCCGTCTTCAGCAGGAGTGAGTGTGCCTTGGTCCCTGGTGAGCTGTGCCCGTCTTCAGCAGGAGTGAGTGTGCCTTGGTCCCTGGTGAGCTGCGCCCGTCTTCAGCCGGAGTGAGTGTGCCTTGGTCCCTAGGGAGCTGCGTCCGTCTTCAGCAGGAGTGAGTGTGCCTTGGTCCCTGGTGAGCTGCGCCCGTCTTCAGCCGGAGTGAGTGTGCCTTTGTCCCTGGTGAGCTTTGCCCGTCTTCAGCAGGAGTGAGTGTGCCTTGGTCCCTGGTGAGCTGTGCCCGTCTTCAGCAGGAGTGAGTGTGCCTTGGTCCCTGGTGAGCTGTGCCCGTCTTCAGCAGGAGTGAGTGTGCCTTGGTCCCTAGTGAGCTGTGCCCGTCTTCAGCAGGAGTGAGTGTGCCTTGGTCCCTGGTGAGCTGCGTCCGTCTTCAGCAGGAGTGAGTGTGCCTTGGTCCCTAGTGAGCTGTGCCGTCTTCAGCAGGCTCTGGTGGTGCTCAGATGGTCCCCGCTGCAGCTGTCGGCAGGCTTGTGTTGTTCAGTACGGGTGTTCTCTTTACATCCTGTGTCTGCACTCAGCCACAGTGAAAGCTGGCGTGTGAGGATGGAGGCCTCACTCACTCTGTGACTCCTGTCTCTTGCCTACTCCAGGGTTTGGGTTTCTGGTCTCATGCGCACTCCAGAGACTATTTGCTCGTTCATTTAGGATGAGGGCTCCTTTTCTCTTCGGAGCCCAGTGCTGAACGTTGAATTAGGATAGGACATACACCCACTAGAATCCTTTCCATAGTCACAGATGGCATTGGAAAATAAACAGAGGGAAAACCAACATCTTAGCAGGTTCCCTCTTCTCCGCTCCTTCCTCCGTGCTCCATTCCGGTTGCCGCGGCCAGGCTTTCTCGCAACAAGCTTGATAAACAGGAGCGCTGTGGTCTCCTCCCCAGTGTCAGTGGGGCCAGCCTCACTTAGCATTCCCGTTCTCTGTCCCTCACCTGGGCCAGCCGTCGGCCACGCCCATCTCAGGTCCAGTGCAGCCGGCTCCCGAATTTTTCTGTACTGACCCACTCTCGAGTTCCCTCGCCATGGCACTGCGGCTGTTTTTGCCCGTGGTCCTCCTTCCCCCACTGGAGTCTGCATGGTGTCATCCCAGCGCTGTTCCTTCCATAGCACCATCAGTCAGTCTGAATTCTGAACCAGGCCTCTTTCTCTGACCTGCACTTTTCTGGCCTCAGTTCTGTTTTCCTTTCTTTTAAAACATTTTTATTTATTTGAGAGAGTGAGCTCCTATCCACTGGCTCACAGGTTCACTTCCCAGTCACGTCCATTGACCAGGGCTGGACCTGGCCAAAGCTCAGAACCAGGAGTTCAGTCCGGGTCCCCACGAAGGAGACAGAAGTGCAGTTATCTGAGGCGTCACTGTTGCCTCCCAGGGCCCACAGCAGGGGCTGAAGCCAGGCCTCATACTCAGGTTCTCTGATACGTGACGCAGGTGTCTTAACCGCATCGTGACCACAAAACTGAGTGCCGGCTCCACCAGTCCCTTTTCCTAACACTGCCCCCGCCCCGCTACCACCGCTACCCATCATCCTCACCACAGTGTAAGCGCTGACAGTACTGAGTGATTTGACTTCCATTTGCCTGTTCTCTGCCCTCCAGCCCTTGTTCATGACTTCCCCACTGTCTGTCAACCCTGTCTTCCACCTTTCTCTCGTTCTGCGCTGGTCTGTCCCTCCTCCTTCTTCGTTTTCACGTCCTTTAGGAAACACTTGCTTGGGCGGTTTTAATACTAGGGGTGCACAGTGATGACTGCAGACACAGTTCTGTCACCCGCCCTCACCCTGAGTATCAGGAGGAAGTTGTGCCTAAGCCAAGGGATAAGTCGCAATTCTGTTAATAGTTGTGTTGTATCTGTTGTGTACATACTCTCTTAAAGATCCCCTCTTTGATGAGTCATTTCATGATTAAAATTACATGGATGTCACAGGCAGTACTACCTTTTTGCAAATTGTTATTTTTGCAGAACAGATTCTTAGAAGTGAAGTTGCTGGATCATAGAGTACCCTTTGTTGTATGGGTGTAACTTAAAAACGTACTTGTTGGTCATCCCCTCAAAATGTTAGCCACGGAGCACCGTATCACCGTCAGTTCCCCGTTAGGTGTCTCCCCAGGAGAAGTGAAGAAGATTTGTGTGTGATTCTTCATGGCAGCATTGCTCGGCAGAGCTGGGGAGAGACGACCTCAGTGTCTGTCACGTGAGAATGGGTGATGAAGATGTGGCGCATTCACACAGCGGAATGCTACTCAGCACTTAAAAAGGAAGCCCTGCTATACAGGGTACTACCTCACAGGTGAACTGCAAAAGCAGTATCCTAAGAAGCCAGACACCGCAGAGCACACCTCGTGTGATGTTGTATAAGTGGAGTGTTCAGAGTAGACAAACCAATAGGGAAAGAAGGTAGATGGGTGATTTTCCAGCGCTAAGGAGCTGGGGCTGCGGCGTTGAGGGAGCAGGGTAGTAGGTTTGGACTGCACATGGGAACAGGGTTTCTGTGGGGGGAGAAGAGCTTCTGAAATTAGACTGCAGCGATAGGTGCACAGCTCTCTTCCCACATTAAAAAGCTCATTGTAGCCGGCGCCGCGGCTCACCAGGCTAATCCTCCACCTAGCGGCGCCGGCACACCGGGTTCTAGTCCCGGTCAGGGCGCCGGATTCTGTCCCGGTTGCCCCCCTTCCAGGCCAGCTCTCTGCTGTGGCCAGGGAGTACAGTGGAGGATGGCCCAAGTGCTTGGGCCCTGCACCCCATGGGAGACCAGGAAAAGCACCTGGCTCCTGGCTCCTGCCATCGGATCAGTGCGGTGCGCCGGCCGCAGCGCGCCGGCCGCGGCGGCCATTGGAGGGTGAACCAACAGCAAAGGAAGACCTTTCTCTCTGTCTCTCTCTCTCACTGTCCACTCTGCCTGTCAAAAAAAAAAAAAAAAAAAAAAAGCTCATTGTATGCTTAATTTAAAAAAATTTTTTTTCTTTTTTATTTATTTGACAGGTAGAGTTATAGACAGTGAGAGAGAGAGAAAGGTCTTCCTTCCGTTGGTTCACCCCCGAAATGGCCGCTTTGGCCAGCGCTGCGCCGATCTGAAGCCAGGAGCCAGGTGCTTCCTCCTGGTCTCCCGTGCGGGTGCAGGGCCCAAGCACTTGGGCCATCCTCCACTGCCCTCCCGGGCCACAGCAGAGAGCTGGACTGGAAGAGGAGCAACCGGGACTAGAACCCAGAGCCCATATGGGATGCCGGCCCCACAGGCAGAGGATTAACCAAGTGAGCCACGGTGCTGGCTCAATGCTTAATTTTTTTTTCAGTCTCTGTTATTTATTTGGGAATTTGGTTTGTGTGAGAGACAGCGAAGGCTTCCATCTTCCAGTTCGTTTCCCCAGATATCTGCAGTGGCAGGTGCTGGGCCATGCTGAAGCCAGGAGCTGGAAGTACAATCCATGAGGGTGGCAGGGCCAAGTCCTTGAGCCGTCACCTGACGCCTCTCAGGAGCAGAAAGCTGGCTGAGAGCACGGCTGGCACTTGAACCCAAGCACTGTGACGCAGGACGCAGGAGTCCCAGCCAGCAACCCAACCACCAGGCCAAATGCCCGCCCCAAACTGCATGCTCAGAGTGTCCACCCTGATGGTGTGGAGACCGTCTCAATAACAAACCTGCTTTTTCATTGCCATGCTAAAAGGCTCCCTTCTAGGGTTTTCTGGTTGTAAGCAGTGGAAACTGGTTCTGGCCAACTCAGACAAGAAGGGGGGATTTCGGGAGAGCATTAGAGACGTCTCATAGGACTCTGCGTGAGGGGCCTTTTTCTCCTTTCTCCACAGAGGTGAAGGTGCGGGGAGCGCTAAATATAGACCTGGACAGCCCCTTGTGCTCAGCCCCCGATCACTCCCTCTCTCCGGGGCGGCGGCCAGCTGGTGTGGTCCCTGCGAGTGTGGGAGGCCCGCGGGCGCCGGCTCGCGCCGTCAGCTGCCGGCTCCTCCATCTGCTTTTCCTGCGCAGAAACTCTGAAAGCTCTTGCCTGCCAGTCCCGCACGTGCTGTTGTGGGTCACGTGTTTAAAATCACTCACTGTCCTGAGGCCTCCCAGGAGGTTCCAGCTCTTCAAAATAGAAGTAGTTCTTGGTTCTGTAAGAGTCCCTCTTCCCCCGCTGCATCAGGGTTTATCTTTGTTCATTCCTTCTGATTTTCAGATTTCTTCAAAATAGAAGCTTGGTTAATTTCAATGTTTATTTCTTCAAAAATCCTCTTGAAACTAAAAAAAAAACAAGAAAAATTTCGTAACAAGGTTAGAAAACCTGGGCCGGCGCTGTGGCGCAGCGGGTTAAAGCCCTGGCCTGAAGCGCCAGCATCCCATGTGGGCGCTGGTTCTAGACCCGGCTACTCCTCTTCTGATCCAGCTCTCTGCTATCACCTGGGAAAGCAGAAAAAGCCCAAGTCCTTGGGCTCCTGCACCCAAGGACTTTCGGGATGCACTTTCGGGCTGGGAGACCTGAAAGAAACTCCTGGCTCCTGGCTTTGGATTGGTGCAGCTCTGGCCATTGTGGCCATCAGGGGAGTGAACCATCGGATGGACAACCTCTCTCTCTCTCTCTACCTCTCTCTCTGTAACTCTGTCTTTAAATAAAATAAAAAATAAATCTTAAAAAAAAAAAGGCTGGCGCCGTGGCTCACTTGGCTAATCCTCCGCCTGCGGCACCGGCACCTCAGGTTCTAGTCCCGGTTGGGGCACCAGATTCTGTCCTGGCTGCTCCTCTTCCAGTCCAGCTCTCTGCTGTGGCCTGGGAGTGCAGTGGAGGATGGCCCAAGTGCTTGGGCCCTGCACCCGCATGGGAGACCAGGAGAAGCACCTGGCTCCTGGCTTCGGATCGGCGCAGTGCTGGCCGTAGTGGCCATTTGGGGGGGTGAACCAATGGAAGGAAGACCTTTCTCTCTGTCTCTAGCTCTCTCACTGTCTAACTCTGCCTGTAAAAAAAAAGGTTAGAAAACCTGTGTTGATTATATTTGGGCTAATTCACCAGCTTAAAACTAGAAAACTTATAATAGTTTTATTTATTTGCTAGTCTTTAAAGAAGTATTTTGTTTTACTGAGCAGAGTCACTTTTTAAATATTATTAATGATAATCACAGTAATAGAAGGAGTAGCTATGTGGCTGTTTATTTTTACACCGGGCAGTATATTACATGTGAGTTATATGTGTTAAGAATTTCTAATTTTTTCTAACAACCCTTTGAGGCCTGTTGCTGTTATCTTAGTGGTGGAGAAACCGAGGCTCAGGAGAGGGTGAGTAACTTGCCAGTCGTGCAGCCGTGAGCGGCGGCCTGGGAACCAGGCTGAGATGTGTGACTGCAGAGCAGAAGCCCTGAACCTCTGTAGCGCGTGTCGTTTGCAGCGTCGACGACATGATGGTTACCATTTGGTTTTGAATTAACGTCAGATGTAGGGAGTACTTGTAAGGACATAACCAAGGGGCCAGTGCTGTGGCGCAGCAGGTTAAAGCTCTGGCCTGAAGCGCTGGCATCCCATATGGGCGCCGGTTCTAGTCCCGGCTGCTCCTCTTCTGATCCAGCTCTCTGCTATTGCCTGGGAAAGCAGTAGAAGATGGCCCAGGTTCTTGGGCCCCTGTACCTACACGGGAGACCCAGAAGAAGCTCCTGGCTCCTGGCTTCAGATCAGCGCAGCTCTGGCCATTGCAGCCATCTGGGGAGTGAACCAGCAGATGGAAGACCTTTCTCTCTTTCTCTGTCTCTCTGTAACTCTGTCTTTCAAATAAATTAAATAAATCTAAAAAAAAAAAAAAAAGAATATAACCAGGAAATCCCACATCCCTTCCCCAGATTGCCCAGTTGTGATCATCTTACTCCTCTGCCCTGTCAGCCTCCCAGCGTGCACACAGCCACAGCACACCACATGGTTTTTCCTGACCCGTGAAGAGTAAGTCTCGAGTGTGTTGCCCAGGTGTCCTCACCTGCATATGTCAGTGTGTGTTCGCTGAAGGAGCGACGTTCTGAGGAGCCGCAGCATGCATCAGAATCAGGCACACGTTCTGCCTTCGCGGCATGAACAAAGCAGGCACTTGCCACCCTCCTCCCTCTGGCCCGGGAGGTTGTGCGTCTGTGCTCAGCGGCTGCGGAGCAGGTCCTCGCTCGGAGCTTCCGTGTCACCGTGGTTTGAGTCCCTTCTGTGAATAAATGCGGGTTTTCCTTTGGGGCAGTAATACAGGTTACATATCCCTTCTCCAGAATGTGTGGAACAGGAGTGTCCGAATTCCGCGTTTTCAGGTTTTGGACTGTTTGTGTAGACTCTGCTGGTTGAGCATCTCCAGAGCGTGAACTGCGTCTCAGGTTTTTGGATCAGGATGCTCAGTCTGACAAAGTGGTCCTGTGTCCCGCGCGCCCTCCCGGGAAGCGTGTGGTGGTGTGGTCTGTGGCTGGTGCGGTTAACAGTTATTACTTACTTCCAGTGGTCTGTGTATCCCTTCTGTAAAATCAAGTATTTGTACAATTGTTACGTAGTAATGGTGTTTTAGAAAGTGGTATTCTCTAGCTATGCTGTTTACCTTCGGATTTTCACCCACTAGTTTTGGCATCCCTTGAGGATTTTGTTTTTCATTTTTAAGATTTATTGATTTTGAAAGAGTTACAGAAGGGGTGTGGGGGGAGAGACAGATAGACGTCTTCCGTTCATTGATTCACTCCCCCAGTGGCTAGGCTGAAACCAGGTGCCGGGAGCTTCCTCCAGGATCCCCCCTCCTCTGCTCTCCCAGGGTTTAGCAAGGAGCTGGGCAGAGGTGGAGCGGCGGACACAGACCCACACCCATGTGGGTTGTGGCTTTGCCTCCTACGCCACATTGCTGGTCCCCCCAGGATTCTCGCCTGACCCAGTTGTTGCAGTGGTTACCGAATGCTGGTTTTGCCTTGTTCTGCTCTCTGTAACGTAGAGCTTTTCCTTGCCTGCACGCGTGTGTGTTTGTGCTAGCACGAAATCGCAGATTCTTGTTTCGTTCTGTGGGTTACAATGCATGGATACATCACCCCTCAACCAGAGGAAACTCCCTTCGGTCTGCCCTCCGTGTCCTTTCGGTGCCCACACAGTGCCTTGTTTTACGTCATGAAATACTGCAGCTTCGTGTCCGTCCCCTACTCCACGCCTCGAACCAGCCGTTCCTCCAGGAAGCCCCGATTTCCTGCAGTGGGGATGACGTCAGAAATTAGCGTGGGGTCAGCACTGGTGCTGATTGTGGACAGGCCAGGCATTGTGGAGATGTGTGTGTGTGCAAAACTGTGTTATTTAATGTGTACACAAGGACTATGCGGTGTGCACACGTTTCACACGTACTTTATCTCCATGTATTTACATATCTGTAATCATATAAAACAAGAGGACCAGTGCTGTGGGGTTGATTGTACCCTTCTCCTTTCCGTATCTGTGCCTTGCATCTCCCGCTGTGAGGGTTCTGACTCCAGTTATCCTTAAGCTGTTTACTTAAACCCTCTGTGTGCCTGTGTGGAGCCAGTTGCCTGCCCGTAGGCTACCTTCTCTGGTTCTGCCACACATGTGGCTGCGTGAGCCGACCTGCCCTTGGCCCCTGTGACCACTGTTTAAAATAATGTTGAATTACATTTTGTTTCTTCTCTTCCTTTATTGTCCAGGTCTTCCAAGATTTATCAGCCAGCCAGAGCCTTCCTCAGCTTACGCTGGAAACAGTGCCGTCCTGAATTGCGAAGTGAATGCAGATTTGGCCCCCTTCGTGAGGTGGGAACAGGACAGACAGCCCCTTCTTCTGGATGACAGAGTCGCCAAGCTTCCTAGCGGGGCACTGGTCATCAGCAACGTGACCGAGGCAGACGGGGGCCTTTACCGCTGCGTGGTCGACAGCGGCGGCGGGCCACCCAAGTTCAGTGACGAAGCGGAACTGAAGGTTCTTGCAGGTATCAGCTCGTCGTCAGGACTGGTGGCCTTGTCGATGCACGGGTGAATTTGTTCTGCAAGGATTGATTCAGTGGGCAGTTAGTAGGTGGCGTGACACGTTGGTGCCGGCATAAGGAGTCTGTTTTTCACAGGGTAGAAAGGGAATACTGTAGAACGAACCATTCTTCAGCGAATGCATTATTAAAAATTAGCTCAGGTGAAGTAGGTTGAAAATCAAAGCGTATTCTTCACAAGAAATGAAAGCTCCGTCTTTCGTCCAGCCTCTGTGTGTTGTGCCATTCCCTGCATTAGGATGCTTTCCTAGTGAGATCTTTGCACCTGTCGGCCTCGGAGGCTCACTGGGGCTCGTCCCTGAGGGTGCTGGTGGGACCTGATGGCGCGGCTTTGGAGGCACTGCCAGCCGGAGTTCTTGCTCCTCTGTGCAGTGCAAACCCATCTCCTCCTCAGCGGTTGCTTTTGTTCGTGTTCTCCCCTTCCTGCCCTTGCGGGCTTTCCTCATAATCAGTTTTATATGTGAGGGTACCCAAAAAAGTTCACGGGAAAGGGAATTAAATGGAAGGTTAAAAAAAATAGGAATTAATCAGAAGTTGAAAAAAAAGAACAAAAAAAGGGAAGCGGTGTGCTGCAGTTGCCCCTCACTTGTAACACGGCGCAGGCCTTGTTCCTTCTCCATGCCGTGGGGAACATCCAAACACAACTTCCAGATCTGACCCAGGAGAGCAGGCTCACAGCGTGAGGGGCTGAAGCCGCCACTCAGAGACCAGAACAGAAGCCAGCACTGCGCTTTGCTTCCGCAGTAGACACGGTCGCCTGAACACAGCCGGCTGCGGGTCTGTTTGGGTGTTCGGGTTGTGTTAAGAGGCAGAGGTGGGTCGATGTCAGTCACAGAAATGTGTTTGTGATTAGCTACTGAGGAGGGGCAGGTTAGTGTCCACCTTAGAGGCACGCCACTGTGCTGCTGGTTGATTGGCCTTAGCCTGAGCGGGTCACTCACTGCGTGGGCTTCACACTCACCAGGGTGAATTGCTGCTAGGCTGTGAGGCGGTACCGCGTGTTACCAAGGCTACAGAGCTGATGGCGGTTGTGGTGCTGGCTCTCGGGGCTCCGTCTTCCTCGGAGTGTGGGGACGAGGGTCGCGTCTGCCCGAGAACTGTCTTTGTCCTCAAATCTCCACATTGTTGTTATCACCCCATTTAAGTTGGCACTGTCTCCTGCCCACAAGAGGGTGACGGCCTTTCCACGTGTCCACTAGAGCACAGCTCTGTCCAGTGAGCGGCGCCCATCCTCATGTCTGAGTGGGAGACAAGTGTAGTGGCTGATAGACGGTTCTGCGTTCCAGAATCAAAGGTCGGACTCAGTGAGCAGGTGCGAGATGTGAAGCTGAGTGGTTCTCAGAAACTGGAGACACAGACACCCCGCTGTGAGGGGGCGGGTGCTCGGGGTCTTGAGCTTGTCACCTCTTGCACACTCCTGTGGCGGGTGCCGTGCCTCTTGGACACTCCTGTGGCGTGTGCCGTGTCTCTAGTGGTGGGGGATGGTGTCAGGTCTCCCACAACTGCTCAGTAAGCATTCTGGAGGCAGGGATGCATGCACACATCATTACAGCCTCCGGGGACACAGCGCTTCGCACAGAGACGTTACCTGAGAAATGCTGGTGTAACTGGAATTCTCCTGCGACTGTTGGTGAAGATATTTTGTCACAGGAAGCCACACAGAATGGAAGTGGCCATTACTCACGATCAGAGCAATAAAATGCTTTGCCTTTTATGTATAAATCATTTTTTATTCTTAATGTTTAGATCCTGAGGTGCCGTCAGACTTGGTGTTTCTGAAGCAGCCGCCTTCCTTGGTCAGAGCCGTTGGTCAGAGCGTGGTGTTGCCTTGTGTTGCCTCGGGACTGCCTGCTCCCAGCATCAGATGGTTGAAAAATGAGGAGGCACTCGACACAGACAGGTAATGCCGTCCGCCCCGGAGCAGCCCTGGCCTAGGTCTTAGTCCAGTCTTATTTGGGAATGATTAATTGATTAATAACACAGGGTTATCTGCTTTATTTAAACACATTATAATGCTCATTTGCCACCCTTGAGATGTGTTTTATGGGCTGTGTATGACTAGAGTGTTCATAAAGAAAATAATGTGCTTTCAAAACATTAAGGGATGATTATTTCATTTCTTCTCCCTGAAGCCGCAGGTCAGTTGGCTCAAGGCTTTGGCGTCTCTTTTCCTAAATTGTCACAAGACCAGCTTGAGTCTTCTCACCCACTCCGATTCGCACTGTGATTTTTTTCTCAGATCCTTTGTCCTTTTAAAATCATAGCAACCTTGCGCCATGATCACAGATTCTTCTCTTCCACAAAGCCTTCTCTGTTTATACCAGCCGCCCTAGACTCCTCCCCAGTGGGTACTTTGCTCAGCTGTGTTCTCATAGGAGAACCGGGGTGTGGTGGTGGTTCCCTGTGTTTTTGTTCCCAAAACCGGGCCGTCTTGCACATCTGTGGTTGTTACTGGCATCCCCGGCCTCCACCCAGCAGATGCCCAGGGCACTGCCAACCTGTGGCTCCCGGCAGTGTGCTCCACGTCGCCACCCGCTGCGGCCTGCTGTTGCAGAGCGGGGCTGTCCAGCGGAAGTGCATCATAAGCCACATGTGTAGTTTAAAGTTTTCTGGTGACCGCGCCACCAAATGAAAGAGTGAGAGGTAGTTCTGTCAGAACGGAAACAGAGCAGTAAAGTTTGTGGAAGCCGTTTTATATCACAGCTACATTGAAGCTCAGAGTGGAAGAAAAAAAATTCTACTTCCAAACACTAAAACTCTGAGCCGTCCTCGCCACACAGTGGCATTAACAGCCTCTTGTGACTGGTGGCTGCCGATGGGGACAGAGCGGGTCTAGGGAGCAGAGGGTCTTTTTTCTTTTCTTTTCTTTTCTGGTGTATTTTTTTAATTTTTTCTTTGGACAGGCAGAGTGGACAGTGAGAGAGAGAGACAGAGAGAAAGGTCTTCCTTTGCCGTTGGTTCACCCTCCAATGGCCGCCGCGACCGGCACGCTGCAGCCGCGCACCGCGCTGATCCGATGGCAGGAGCCAGGTGCTTCTCCTGGTCTCCCATGGGGTGCAGGGCCCAAGCACTTGGGCCATCTACCACTGCACTCCCGGGCCATAGCAGAGAGCTGGCCTGGAAGAGGGGCAACCGGGACAGAATCCAGTGCCCCAACCGGGACTAGAACCTGGTGTGCCGGCGCTGCAAGCGGAGGATTAGCCTAGTGAGCAGCGGCGCCGGCCTAGAGGGTCTTGATTTGTGTGATTCTGTGCCAAAACATGGAAAGGACACCCGTGGAGTTGGCTGGGTGGCAGCCGGCACTGCCCGGTGAACTCCGCCTGTTCCTCAAGCGTTACAGAGCTAGGCGTCACGCCAAGGCTCACCCGAGGCCTTGCCCAGCGCCCGTCCGTTCACCAGCTTCCTCTGCCCGCATTTGGCTTCCACTCTTCTCCCCTGCTGCACGTTATGCAAAGGTTGAAGACTTAAAGAGAATTTAATTCTAATTTTTTGCTTTAAATATTTTATTTATTTGAGAGGTAGAGTTACAGACAGAGTGAGAGACAGAAAGGTCTTCCATCTGCTGGTTCACTCCCCAAATGGCCGCAGTGGTCGGAGCTGAGCTGATCCGAAGCCAGGAGCCAGGACTTCTTCTGGGTCTCCCATGTGGGTGCAGGGGCCCAGGGACTTGGGTCATCCTCCGCTGCTTTCCCAGGTCATCAGCAGATGGGACTTGAACAGGTGCCCATATGGGATGCCAGCACTGCAGGGGGAGGTTTAGCCCACTGTGCCATAGCACTGGCCCCTCTAATTTTTGTTTTTAAATTTTATTTGAAAAGCAGAGAGACCGATCTGTCATCCTCTTTTTCACTCCAGTGCCTGCAACAACTAGTGCTGGACCAGGCCGAAGCAGGAGCCAGGAACTCCATCTGGGTCTCCCTCATGGGTAGCAGGGGTCCAGATACTTGGGCCCTCTCCTGCTGTCTCCTGGGGTGTGCTTTAGCAGGAGGCTGGATTGAAAGCAGAAGAACCAGGACTGGAATCAGGCGCTCTGACATGGGATGTCGGTATCCTAAGCAGTGACTTACCTGCTACGCCAAATGCTCCCCCTCCTTTTTTTTCCTTCATTTTTTAATAAACAGGGAACCTTAAAACAGAGAATAAAAATGTCAAGCTCTTTGAGCAGAAATTTTAACTGGCTAAATATTCTAACAAAGTCTTTATAGGAGTAGGAAAGCAGAAATAGGTTATTTAAGACTTTCATATTTTATCATAGGACATTCTGAAAATAAATTACTTATATACAGAAACACAAAAGCAACTGTCATGCGTTCAGTAATTGTTGAAGATTTCCTCCGAGCGACGCCGGAACAGCCACTGTTCGGGCTCTGGGGAGAGAGCAGTAGCCAGGCTCCCTCCTAGAGGAAAGTCAGGTAACCATCAGGTCACGCGTGCGGGGTCAGGTCGGAGTATGCCAGGCACGCGAGGGGAGGCAGAGGCTGGGCTCTGGCTTGTGCGGAGTGCTGGAGGCCTTTCCCCTAGGAGAGTGATTCTCTGGCGGAGGTCTGGGCGCCTGTGGCTCTCAGGCCATGGGAGAAGAGGTACCTGTCTTCCTGGAGGATATATGCTGGTTGAAAGTATTCCTCTGAATTTTAAAGGTAACTCAGGAGTCTTTGCAGTTGAGTAGCCCCTTCTCTCTGACTCGAGTTCTCTGGGCTCCTGGGTGCTTGGACATTCTCAGTGGCGTGGTGCTGCTGTCACTGTCTCAGGATGCCTCAGCAAGGTGCACCAGCAGGACGCTGTCGGTCTTGCTGGACCCAGCCCGGTGCTTGGCACATGACTGGGAGGGGCGTGTGGCCCTGACACCAAAGCCGGACTGACAGCACACAAAGGAGAAGACTACAGAGTGATCCCTCCTGTGAATGGAGACGCTCAGGTCCTCAGCTGATTATTCAGAGTAGAATTCCGCAGTGTCTGAAAAGAGCTGTTCACCATGACCAAGCGGGGTTTATTCCAGCCGTATAAGGTTAAGTGTTCCAAAGTCAATCACTGTAGCCCGCGGTATTAACAGACTAAGGAAGAAAACAAGTGAGGTTGTCAGTTCTCTTCAGTTGATGCCCAAGTGAACTCAGTGCCTGACAAAAGCCCAGCGAGGCCTGCAGGACCTGGCTCTGGCCTCACCTTGTGTTATGCCTCGCCACACGGATTTCTCTCGGGCCCCAGACCACTGAGATCCTTTCTGCCCCAGCAGCTTTGCAGGTGTCTTTGCTTGTGCCCCCTTCATTACCTGACTAGCTCCTACTCAGGCACAGGTCTCAGATTGAGAGGCACGTGGTCAGGAAAATCTCCCTCTGAATGCTGGAAGGTTCCTTGAGCACACCACCACTCTGGGTTCTCGGCTCTGTGCCTGCCTTTCCCTCTGAGTCCCAGGGCACACTGTTGGTGCTTTCTCTCGGTCCCTGTCCCCCGCTGCTGCTGACCTGCACGGTAACACCAGTCAGTTCTTTCATGAACCAGTCTCTCTACCCTCATCATTCCAGCCTTCTCAGGGTAGTCAGTTCTTTTTGCCTTCTTTATACCTCTCTTAGTGCTACAGTTAATCTTCTGCTCTTTGATTCTGGATCATTTCAGTAATTCTCAACCATACTTCTAAACTCCTTTTGTTGCTTCACAAAGTCTCTGTGTAAAAGCCTTTACCTTTGGCTAAAAAAAAAAAAAGGGCAGTAGATCTCCTTAGCTCTCCCAGTTCCTACAGACTGGCCCCACGCTGAGTGACACCGTGCCCTCACTGAGCTGACGTGAGTGTCGCCCACACGTGCTTTTTCATGTTGTTCCTGTTACCTGCATCTCTGGATTTTGGCAGGCTTTAAAGGCTTGATAGTTGTTGTTTTTACACCGTGAGTCATGAACAAGATAGTGAATGGACATTGCCACTCCACTCTGCCTTTTTTTTTTTTTTTTTGTACAGGCAGAGTGGACAGTGAGAGAGAGACAGAGAGAAAGGTCTTCCTTTGCCGTTGGTTCACCCTCCAATGGCTGCTGCAGCCGGTGCGCTGTGGCCAGCACACCACGCTGATCCAAAGCCAGGAGCCAGGTACTTCTCCTGGTCTCCCATAGGGTGCAGGGCCCAAGTACTTGGGTATCCTCCACTGCACTCCCTGGCCACAGCAGAGAGCTGGCCTGGAAGAGGGGCAACCGGGACAGAATCCGGCACCCCGACCGGGACTAGAACCTGGTGTGCTGGCGCCGCAAGGCGGAGGATTAGCCTAGTGAGCCGAGGCGCCGGCCTCCACTCTGCTTTTAAAGAGAACGAAATCAGCCCCACTGAGAAAAATCAGTGCGAGTGTACTAGTGTACTACTGCTTGCGTATTCTGAAACTTCAGGCACAGAGAGCAGCGGGAATACTTGTGCTGTGATTACTGGATACAACTCACTGGGTCTCACTTTGGAAGGTAACACAGCAACTCGTGTTTCAGATCGGGCTCATCTCTGCTGGGTGTGGTAGGACTCCATTGCTGCTTTCTTGTTCGTGAGTGTTGTTTCCCATTCCCAAGACTTAGTAGTAATTCTGTGCAGGTGTAAAATGTAGGATTTTAATTTTTTTAAGTTTTTCTTATTTTGCAAGACACCAAAACTCTGTCTTACCTGTACTGCTTTTCTCCCATTCTTACCTTGTTCCAGTCTGTTATCTTGCTTCTGTGCATCATCACGTGGAGGTGGGATCTGAGGGTGTAACTGAGACGTGTCAGACAGGGAGGCCACTGGATCGAGTTGACCTTCCAGGGTAGTTTTTCTTGGATAAGCCACCAAGCTTTGTTCTGGTATTCAGCTTTCCGTGTCCGGAAACTTAATCTTACTTATCAGATTCAGGAATATCAATTACCCAGACTTCCAGTGTACTGAAATTTAAGCTGGAATAGCACTTCATTTACTTGGAATGAGAATTACAAATGGGCAAAGACTGAATAGTCATTTCCTACGATTTTTCTGCCATAAGGAATTATGTATATGAAAAACCACACTATAACCAGAATGATTTTTGTTGAGCTTAGATATGAGATTGTAAATGTTAGCAATATGTAGATTTGGGAGACAAACCTAGCCTGTGAGAAAGCAGCTTTAGACATAGAACTTGAAAATAATAATTACTGTGTCTGATACTGTATTTTGCACGTGTCGTGTTGGGAAGTGCTCAGAGTGTCGGCTTAGCTGTGCACTTGTCCCTGAATCAGTCGTATCCCTTGCCTGATGTCACGCACCTTGTGCATTCGGTTTAGTTTGTAATTCTCCAAATTAACTAAACTAACTCACTTTCTGAAAGCTCGGTCCGAATGCTATTTGTGTCCTCTCCCTCAGTGGTAGGGATTATTTTAATCGACATAGACCAGTGTGTGGGGCTGGCCAGAGTTCCTCGGTGCCCCTGTTGACAGTGGTGTGACGCAGGCCGACTGCTGGCCCCAGGAAGCTGCCCTGCAGTAGCCGCCCTCCGTACTCCCTTCCCTTTCCCGGCCAGAGCACCGTGGGAGGCTTGGAGCCGGCTCCGTGATCCCACACCTGACCTGATGTTTCGCTCTCTTTATTTATTTCTTCTTTTAGTCACCCCAGTGTTTCATAGCCTTGGTGGCGTGACTCTCAGCTTGACTCTAAAACCTCAAAATTATATAATCTGCAAAGACAGACCTTGCCCGAGTCGGGAGATGGGGTGGGCGGGGGATAACCAGAGTGTCGGAGATGATTCGCTGAGACATCTGATTGGTATTTGTGACACTCCTGCATTTATGGGGACAGAGCAGGTGGGACTAAGTTATGTTAGTCTCAGTCCATCTGTACCCGTGCAGATAGTAACAGTGCTGAAGTCTCTGTCTGGTGCGGCGAGTGTCTCTGGTATTTCCCTGCTGCTGAAATGTGTTCGTTTTGTTTGTTTTGTAGTTCTGAGAGACTGGTCCTCCTGGCAGGGGGTAGCCTGGAGATCAGTGAAGTCACTCAGGACGATGCCGGGACTTACTCCTGCGTAGCGGGCAGTGGCAACGAGACGATCGAAGCTCAGGCGGAGCTCACAGTACAAGGTACGTGGGTGTTGGCCGTGGCTGCAGGGAGTCCTGTGGGCACCTGGGGTCGCCGTGGTTGACCACAGCATCATAGATGAGACAGCCGGGGTTCCAGTTCTGGATCTCAGATTTCCTGGCCAAGAGACTGTAGGAAATCTACTTACCCTTCAGTCTCGCTTTCCTCGTCTGTAAAGTGGAGCTGATGAGAGTGCCTGTGGCACTGGGATTGTTTGAGGATTGAAAGAGCTATATTTGTAGAAGTCCCGCATCAGTGGCTAGAATATGGTGAAAGCTCACAACAGGTTACTGCTGTTGTTGCTCGCGTGTGCTGGGGGACGTCTTGTCCTCTGACCCGAGCGTGCCTGACCTCGGCATTGGAGCTGCCAGCTGTGGTGGACAGGTCACCCAGAAGGGGTGCACTGTGGCTTTCACGGTAGCTCAGGTGAGTGACTTGGTGTCTGTTTCTCCCTGTTCAGCTAACGTGCCGTCGCTGCAGGGATGGCCATTCCTCCCCTGTCTCCTCCGCTCCCCTTCCCCGCTCCAGATTCTCAGGTGTTGAAGTCGTGGCATGTGTACACAGTCTCCTCCTTGTCCCCATCTCTCTGGCACTCCTCTTCCGGAAATGCACCCACAGCGAAATAGCTGCTGCTTCTCCTCTGATTTGTCTGCACCCCTGTTTCTATTTTAAATAAAACCCTTGGGATATTCTTTGTTGATTTCACAGAAATCCAGCGCTACTTGAATACTCAGAGGTGTCTGCTGTCTTGTGCTACTCAGCGTCATTGTGTTCCACGTTGCATTGCACTTGGTAGAAAGTGTGCTTTGGGGTGTTGGAACCCCTTCGTGTGATTTTACATGACAGCTTGTGTCTCCACGTGAGCATTTTGAGTTCCAGAGTGGAAAGTAGAGTGGCTACATTCCCTGCTCCCGGGGTCACCAGAGGATGCAAATGGGCTTTCCAGAGGAAATAGGGGTTCAGAACTGGTCAGCACATAGAACGCTGCACTCCCTGCAGGGTCAGTGGTGGTCTTACCCTCTGAAAAACCAAAGGAGCAAGCCCAGAGGTCAGTTGACCTGTTTGGTCAGTTGAGCCTGGTCCGTGTTCTGGGTTCTGTGGAAGGCTGGACGCAGAGCATGGCGTAGTGCGGAGCTCAGAGTGGTTCTTGAGCTCCGTGCAAATACGGTGTGAAGACGCCCATCTCATTTGGCCTCTGCGCCTTCCTTGCTGGATGTTTGCTCCTTGATTTTTACTTTAATCTGATTCTTGCCTAACACCTCTTCCACCTCTTCCCTGCACGTCTGTCCTTTCTGCCTGCGTACGTGGTTGCCGAGGGCCTCAGGGGAGACGGCAGAGCTCGTCGGCTCTGCCTTCCCCAGTATTCCTTCCCAGGGATGCCTGCCATGAAGCGATCTTACCCCTCCTCTGTTCAACTGTTGTGTGGGATCTAACTGAGGCTCAGACCATCAGCTGGTTAGCTGCGTTTCTATCACAAGGGCATCTATTTACGTCTTGGGATTTGTGCCCAGGTCTGTCGGACAGTCTGTGCCTGGAGAGCGTACCCTGTAAGTGAACGCGTTCTGGAAATCTCAGAAAGAAGAGGGAGGCGTGCAGATTTTAGAAATGGCCAGGAACGCCCTCCCTCAGCGAGGTGCGACATAGGCATGAGAGCGGACAGCAGAACAGGAGCCAGCTGCTACCGTGTAATTATGGAACTTCAAAATGTGGCGAAAGTGGCAGTTCAGCTCAGAGGGAGAGTGTTTTTGGTTGGTAAATCACATTGGCACAGTAGACTTTGAACTGGAAGAAAGGGAACTGGATCTCTACTTCAGGCCAAAGGTCTAAATGTGGAATAGGGAAGTGTATGTGGGAGAATGCTCCCTCTCTAGTGGAAGAGGAGTGGGTGGCGTTTGGCCTAGCGGTTAAGATCCCGCTGGGTTCGTTTCCTGTCTCCAGCTTCCTGCTAACGCAGACCCTGGGAGCCGCCGGAGATGGCTCGAGTAATCGAGTTCTGCCACCTTAGCGGAGACCTGGATTGAGTTCCCGACTCCTAGCATCAGCCCCAGTTAGGGGTGGTTGTGGGCATTTGGGAAGGTGGGTCAGTACACCAAAAGAAACAGACTTTTTCTGTTTGCCGCTCTCTGCCTATCATGTAAATAAATAAAAATCAGAGAATGAGATGACAGCTGTTGGTGACGATGTGGTATGAATGTAAATTGGTACTGCCATTATGGAAAAACAGTATAAAGGTTCTTCAAATGAAAACTCAAACTTGGGGTCAGCACTGTGATGCAGTGGGTTATGCCGCTGCTGGGGACGCTAGGATCCCATGTTAGAGTGCTGGTTTGAGTCCTGGCTGCTCTGCTTCCAGTCCAGCTCCCTGCTGATTCCCCTGGGAAAAACAGTAGAAGATGACCCAAGTACTTGGGTCCTTGCCACCGAGGCGGGAGACCCAGATAGAGTTCCCAGCTCCAGCCGTTGTGGCATTTGGGAAGTGAACCAGTGCATGGAAGATTCCTGTCTCCGTTCCCCTCTCTGTCACTCTGTCTTTCCAAATAAATGTTTTTAAAGAAGAAAAAAATAAACCTATCATATAAATCATTTCTGGGCTTAAAGAAATAGGTATGTGAGAGATGTCTGCACTGCCATGTTCATTGCAGAATTATTTGCAGTAGCTAAGATGTGGGGTCAACCTTAGTATCCATCAGCGGGTGACCAGCCAAAGAAAAGATGGCATATAGTTATACAAGTACAGTGGAACTCTTTTCAGCCTTAAAAAGGAAAGAAGTCCTGTGATTTGTGCTGCATAGATGAACTTTTAAGGACCAGTAAATAAGGCAAGACAAGCACAGATAGACAAATACTGTACAATCTCACTTTATGTGTGGGACTCAGAATCCGAGAGCAAAATGGTTTCCGTGACCTGTGGGGGCTGGGGGACTTGGGAGATCATGACTGAAGGATATAGGACTCTAGTAGGAGGAATGAGCTCAGGGGATCTGTCCTATACCATGGTGACTGTATTAATAACAGTGTATTGTGTCCTTGAAATTGCTGAGAGTAGATTTTAAATGTTCTTACCACACACACACACACAGAAGCCTTCTACTCACTTCAGACATGCACCAAACAACACGTCACACGTCCTAAACACAGTCTTCCCAGTACATTGTCCCTTGGCGTCCAAGGAGCACTGGTCCCAGAGCCGCACTTGAGCCCATCTGTGAAAGGGCCTGCTGCCGTGCGCCTGTCTCCTGTGTACTTCCAGGCATCTTCAGGTTGCTTCTAACATCCGGTACAATGTTCATGCTGCATAAGCAGTTAATACACTGTTATTTAGAAAATAATGATGATAGCATGTGTTTTCCCAGGTGTTTTTGATCCATGGTGGGTTGAAGTTGCAACAAGTGCCCAGGCCAGCTGTGCGCACAGTTTTACGTGTCAGTTTAAAAGGAAATATTTTAAATTTAAAAACCTATTTAGATATCCTCAATATCTTTGTACCTGATAATCCTGAAATATGGAAAGCAGAAACTGACAGTATTATAAAGTAGGCAAAATTATGATCATAGTAATAGATTTTAAAACACTTCAGTAATTGGTAGGGATGTACAGATATAAAGTAAAACTGTAAACAGTTATACTGTAGGGCTGAATGGGGGCCGGCGCTGTGGCACAGCGGGTTAACGCCCTGGCCTGAAGCACCAGCATCCCATGTGGGCGCTGGTTCTAGACCCTGCTGCTCCTCTTCCGATCCAGCTCTCTGCTATGGCCTGGGAAAGCAGTAGAAGATGGCCCACGTGCTTGGGCCCCTACACCCACGTGGGAGACCCGGAAGAAGCCCCTGGCTCCTGGCTTTGGATTGGCGCAGCTCCGGCCATTGCGGCCAGTTGGGGAGTGAACCATCAGATGGAAGACCTCTCTCTCTCTCTCTCTCTCTTTCTCTCTCTCTCTCTGCCTCTCTGTGTAACTCTGACTTTCAAATAAATAAATAAATCTTTAAAAAAAAATTTAGGGCTGAACAACATGATTAACAAACTTGATCTGATTGACATTTGTATAATAGTGTGCCAGAAATTGAAGAAATCATATTTTCATAAGTGCCTATGAAATAGTTATCAAAATATGCCATATGCTGACCACCAGACCAAATCTAAAATTTCAAGAATTAAAATTCAGACCATTTGACAACTGTGGAATTAAAGTTGATGCTGACTACTGAGAAAGCAACTTGGAGGGGAAAACAGTAACTGGGAAGTTATCTTAGTGTTTGAAAATGAAGTGCATCATTTTGACATAACCCAGGAGTGAGGGAGGAAATGATGGTGAGAACCAGGAAGCAGTGTAGCCTGATAGAGGCAGGGACCTACTGGGCTTCAGAGGACACCGGCAGGTAGCCTCAGCACACGTGTTAGAAGAAACAGGCTCAGAAAGGTTAAAAATGCGAATAGCAGCTGCAAACCAAGGAAAATAAAGGGAGTAGTAAGGCGGAAGTTAATAAAATAAATATTCAAAGCAGAGTGCAGCCAAGCCAGAGGTTGGTTCTTTGTAAAGACCCTGATGTGGACAAACCCCTGCACGGTGGTGTCTCTGCCAAAGCCCCACTAGGGGCCGGTTCTTCCTTGTTGTTTGATTCTGCACAGCCTGGAAGCTAAAAAGAATGTGCCCCTTCTTTTGTGAGGGAGCATTTTGTGATTCCTGAAAGCTTCCAAAGGTTCACATACAGTTTTGTTGGCACACAGCTGCAGCCATTGCCTGGTGCAGCGGCTGTGGCTGCTCTCCTGCTACCACACAGGAGTTGGGCAGTGACAGAGACCTCATGGCTGTCACAAACCTGAAATGCTTAAATCTGGTCCTTCACCAAGAAGCCTGGCAACCTCTGGTGTGACTGCATAGACTTGCACACATCACTTAGGTAAGCAAGGATGGATACAAACAGAAGACAGTGGCCAGTGGTGGTTACCAAATATTAGAAATAATAGCATTGGTCTGGAGAGACGTGCAGATAACCACCAGCGAG